TAAGCAGTAACTTGTGATCAAAAAGATGTAGATTTGAAAATTAACTTAGGCTAATAACCACTACTCATTAATGAGTTACTGTAGCCAATGTATTATTTCATTGTTTTTCATTTTGATACCTGCTCTTTTTAAGGGAATCTATTTCCACACTATAACCACTACAGCAAAAATGCAGCCTACAGAGTCAACTTAAGTCCAACTGTAACTCAGTAGAATTGTACCAGGATTGATTTTTCTTCCTCTGCAGTTCCTCCATGTGTTTGAACACATTGGAAAAGATGAAAATGCAGTAAATGGTCCTTATTTGGTCTATATGCTATGCTTCTTGGTATGATGTGTAATGATAGCATACTTTTGCAAATATCTTAGCAGTTTATGAGATGAAATAATCTTCCTGCTTTATTCTTGTCAAGAAAAAGAATCTAGTTCATATTGATCTTTCATTTGTATTTTTGAAACATGGAAATTACTTTTTTCAGAAAACAAATAAAAGGCATATAGATCTTTTTCTTATATGTACTCTGCTTCTCTTGGGATGTGAAGGAGTCACAAAGAAAGGATCTGAAATGCACCAACCAAAATGGAGTAAATACCTTTGTTGTTGTCTTGCTTCTTTGTCAGCATAGGCTTCCTGCATAGCTGGAATATACTACTTTTAGGAGCATTAGAAGTGCAGTTTACACAAGTAATTTGGAATAAGGAAAACCACAGCTCGAATACTAAGCTTTTGATAAGAGTGTTTCGCTTCTCATGTTTGTTGCCCATTTAACTAACTGTCCAGATTTATTGTGATACTATTAGTATTCTGAAAATAAAAATGATATAGCTTGATTTTATTTTCAGAAATGCGTATGTGTTAGGAGAAAAGCATGGAATGTGTAGACTACAAGACACTTTTTCTGAAAACAAGAAAAATGTGGAAGTGCTTTTTTTTTTTATTTTGTGTTATAAAATGCTATGAGTGTATGTGCGGTAAAACACCAAGGGGGCATGGATTTGACAACTTCCTACTGTGAATAGTTATTCAACGTACATGTTTCTTGGCACATGCTTGCTGAAGAAAAGGCAGCTGTTTCCATCACTACCCTAAAATCTAAGTATTTTGTGCAACAGGTAGTGCATATGATAATTCTTTCATTCAGCAATAGATTTATCCGGGTTTTAAATGTGGAAGGACCTTAGAAGTATACAGACACTAAAAGTGAACTTTTTTACTGTGAACTTTATCCTTTCTTACATACTGCTTTGGCTGTTTACATCAGGTTTGTGATACTTAACCCAGCTTAAATAAAACCTCCAAATGCATACATGAAGAGAAACAAATTTGGTAATAGAGTATTCCTCAGTCAAGCAAACAAAAATAAAATATTGCAGCTGGAAGCTGAAGCTAGCAACATTTAGACTTGAAATAAAGTAAAAATTTTCAAGTTAAGGGCATTCATACCTGCAGTACTATATATGGTTATGTACCTTAATAATGGGATTTTAAAAAAATTGTCTAAATTGTCTATTTAACATCAATAAATAAATACAATATTTATAATACAGTATTCTGCAGAATTAACTCTGATGTATTCCAAATTCATTCCTAACTACTTTACTGCTAGGATGACCATAGATAAAGTGAAATAGTTGGATAAGAACTCCTATACTGTACCAAAGACATTCCTAGCCCTCCTTGAAATTGCTCCAAATACAGTGCTAGTGATTACTGTGCAAGAAATAGGTATCCAGCAAAGGACAGCAAATGACATTTGGAACAGTAGTAGGTGAACAAGAACAATCTACTCATGATTCAGTACAGCTAACATTGCACTTAAAATATCAAATAAAACCAATTCAATTAGGAACCCACCAAGTAGACAAGTTGTCTGCTCCCCTCCTTCAAAGTCATTCTTCTAAAGAAAATTACAACAAATTTCCATTGGGGGCTATCTGTGATGCTCAGTTAGCACTGGATCTTGCTCTCAAATGCCATAAATCATTTCCCCTTTCACACTTCATCCCCAGCACTCCCATTTCAGGCAGCAAGGAACCACCACCAGAAATCTTAGTGCCTAGGCATCCCAGGAGAAAATGCAGAGCTTTATTCACTAGGTCATTTTCTTTGTTTCTTTGCGTGCTTCTTTGTTTGAGAGTAAAAGTACTTTTGTACGTATGTGGCTACATATAGAGTACATGTGTGCTCATGTATGTACATGTTTAAATTATTATTATTATTTTCATATTCTGTTTAAAGAGCTTGATTCAACCACCGTTCACTGCGAACGAATCTATGACCTTGTGGAGCTGCAGCATGCAAATGCCTTGGAGAAGGGCAGCCAACGTACAAAGGCTGCATGCTGGTACCAGGCAGCTCTCTAAAGAATGTTCTTTTGGCAGAAACAGCCATGCTAAAAATGAGGGGGAAAAATGAATTCAAAATGTAGAGCTGGCCTGCAGTTACAAAGCGATAAGAAAAGTTGGCTGTTCAACATGAGCTGCCAGTTGCATATTCTAGGTCCTTGCTATTCTCAGGCCCTCCTACAGCCATGGCCCTGACCAGTGTTTTGATATAGCACAAAGTGGCTGTTTATTGCTGTTGACTGCTGAGGCCTGTGCTCCGAAATGCATTCTGTCAACAGAATGTAAGTGAACTTGGCATTTTAAAGCTCGGCTGCTGCAGACGCGTAGATTTCTTGGAATTGCCATGCAGCAGGACCGGTGTTGCAGTCCCCAGCTCAAACTGAAAATGTTGCACAGGAAGACGTATCATGTGAAGGTCAGATTTACCTGAGATCCTGAGGGTTTTGTGGGGTTTTGAGTTCCTCATCAGCATAGTAAATATATCTTGTCCTTGCTTTGTTGCCTGTCAAAGGCTAGACTTCTAACTCGCTAAATTTTGTTCAGTATGCTCTGTATGGAAAAAAAGTCATTATTCAATGCAAACGGCCTTCATGTGAAAGGGAGATATGCCTGTGTATAGAGTACATGATATTGCCATAGAAGGAGTAATCAAAATCTGTGCTAACTCTGTGTTACCCTTAGGATTTTTCTACTCTTTTGAGAAGTTATATTTTCTATGATTTTGTAAAAAATCACACGTATTGTTTTCTTTTGTTTCCATAGGAACTACAGGCAGAAATCGATGCTCATACTGACATCTTCCACAACCTGGATGAAAACGGGCAGAAAATCCTGAGGTCCCTGGAAGGCTCTGAGGATGCAGCCCTATTGCAGAGACGTCTGGATAACATGAACCTCAGATGGAGTGAGCTTAGGAAGAAATCTCTAAACATTAGGTAGGATCTGAACTTAAGCGAAAGCCTACAGTTGGCATGTAAGGTGGACTGCTGCATTTTGCCCATAAAAGGGTTTAATTTTGTTTCTGATAGCACTATTTCTGTCCATTTTGAAATGATCTGTGCTATTTTGAATGTTGGCTTAACTTTGTAAGAATGATTAGGTTTTTTGGTGTGAAAATGATGGTAGGGGATTAGGATTTGAAGCATATGATGAGGTTTTGTAATTACAAAAGGAGAGATTAGCATGTTTAAACAGTAACTGTACCCCCTCTAAATGTAGGCTTTTTCTAGAGCTGGGTATGGCTTATCAATGAGTCATGAAAGAAAGTTATTAAACAACCTATATTTATGATAAGCTTTATTTCTAAGGCTGCTATTTTCAGTGCAAGACTAAGAACAGCCTTGCAAATGAGAAGACACATTATTTAAGATTTTAGCTGTTGTCTGGAGAGTGGACAGAACTACCAAATAAAATTCAGGGGTAAGAGGAAATTCATAGGTAGTGTCACAAGAGGAAAAACTTCTCCTTGCAAGGAAAACTATAATAAATGGTAAAGTTACAAGTGATGAAGTAGAGGTACCAGCTTCAATGGGCTGAAGATTGCATTTCAAAAGAAATTGTCCAGGAGGCTTCTCTTCAGAAATACAACTTTTACAATAGGCAACCCAGGTCTGTTGCATTCAGTCTTGGGCATTTTTTCATTTGCTTGCTTGCTGTGTGTTGGTGGTAGTTCAGAGGGCAGCAAATGGCAAAAGTGTTTTTCAAAGTAATGTATGAAATATTAGCTTTTTTCAGCTGAGGCCCTGAGGGAGGTCAGTCTGTGTAATGACAGAAGCCATCTTCATAACATCAATCATTAAAAATAAATGAAGGATGTGAGGTTGAAAAGATGTTAGTAGCGAAACAAAGAGAGACACAGATTCCTCCTTTTTTTTCTGAGGAGCAAAAGAAGAAGGATATAACCCTTCAAGGTCTCTCTGAGAATTTTTTCTTCTTTCACCCATGAACTTGCCCAAATGTGGCGATGTTTGAGATAAGAAAAACAGTCAGTTGGCCAAATATCAGTAATTAAATATATGGAACTTTCTGTCTTTCAATTTTTGCAGTTCAATGTATTGCTGCCATTAATCGAGTCAGAAATAGTAACCCTAGTTATGTCACAGTGACTTCTTGCATTAAACATAGAAAGTAACAGACCTCCTCTTTAAAATATTTGCATTCAATAAAAAGCTCAAGGTGTTCAACACCTTATTGAACTTATTGATTAGGATAAGAAACAATTCTTAACTTCTAAGACATTCAATTTAAATGTTGCTGGCCCTCAGACTAAATGAACAGGCTGTTCTCAATCTGTCTGCTTGGAGCTATTTCTGTATATCACACACTATGGAATGGATTTCATCATAACTAGCAATGCTTACGCAAAAGAGGTATAAGAGCAGAAATATGAAATGTTCCCCAGGCAGCAGTCCCACAAGTCTCCTTGTTTAGCCTAAGTTTTAGACGGCTGAAGCAGAACACCCATGCTGTCGCTTGGTTTAGGTGAGCATTCTTTTCTAAATTAGATAAAATATATGGTAGATATCAAGAGAAGCCAAGCTCATTTCTATTATTACCTTTCTTTCATTCTGATAAGTCAGCACAGTTTATCCTTTTTTATAAAGCACTCATTTTTTAAAACCTTTCCTATTATCTGTTTAGTCTGCACATGCTTGAACACAGTTATAAATGTATGAGTGCATGCATATAACGTACACTTAGCATGCACATACATAAACATGTATTCCCAAAGCTGAAACAAGGGCAGAACAAGATGGGTTCAGGGAAACCATTCACCAAGCTAGGGAAGGTCAGAGCACAGCAGCAGTAACAAAACCACTTTGGGTCACTCATTTTGCACTTCTTCCCTGTAAGGCCAAACCTGGGGAATCAGGGAAGAAGTGAAGACCCTAGTGTTTGCCTCCAGTTGCTGCCTTGTCTGGAGGAGCTGGAAGCTTTCGTTTGCCGAGATAAACATGGGAGACAGGAGTTAACCGACTCAGAAACTTGGCTCCTTGACTGTGTTCTCTCCAAAAGCCCTGCAGTCCTTGCTCTGGCTGTTGCCTCCTGCAACTCCCCATACAATATCCCTGCTTCTCTCCCCCCTTGCTGCTTTCAAAGGCATCCTGGGTCTTCCCCAGCCCTCACTGCCTGCAGGGCTAGTCTCCCCCAGCAGCACCTGCTGCGAGGTGCCCCAGCCCACAGCTGCCCTGTGAGAGCAGAGATCAAAAGGCAGCATGGTCTGTGTGTGTCTCTCCCACATAGCCTTTAAGTTTGAAAAAGGAGAAAATTTTCCATCAGCTCACATACCACAGCAGCTGAGCTTTCTGTCAGCCTATGGCTAATCTGTCCCTTTCCTTTCTCTTTCCTCACCACTCCAGTTCCCTGGTGTAAGAGGCTAGAAAGAAGACAGGATCCACAGAGCAGTTCAAAGAAATACAACCGTCCTTACCTTCAGGAATTCCTCATTTCCATATCCAAACTAAGTAATAAGATCTGCAAAACATTGAGTCCATATTTATCACATTTCTTTATACACCATTCTATATGAGATATAGGAGTAGAATTTTCACTGTCAGAAAATATGTGATTTTATGTGCAGTCACTGAAAAAGAAATGTTATATGAACAAAGCTGGAAGTTAAACAGAAAATATATGAAATAAAAGAAAATCTGTCTTTATTTTCCAGTACATTTTATCACTTTACTGTTATGTAATACTGCTTTTGGTTTGAATTGCTAAGAGGAATTCTTATGTTACCTGGAAGTGAATTAGGAGTTTGTTCCTGACCAGCAATGAAAAAATAGCATATTCATATGCCTAGAAAGACAAAATTTTAGTGTGCTTTATCTCTGGTATATCCAAAATTGAAGATTTGTTCAGTCCAGTGATGTTTCAGTCACATTTTCTCTCCACCGAAAACAGTTGCTGAAAAGTAGTAGCTCAATACTTGATCCCGTATTAAAAAAACACATTTACACATACACAGAGGAAATATTTAGAAGATGTCCTTATGGTGGACACCTTGTTTGTATAAAGCAGTATTCTGTCTTTTAATTTTTCCAGTGATTCAATTAGTTTTATTCACACCTCTGTTCAAATGGCACAGACGTCTGGCTAGTGTAAGGGGATTCTATTGGCTTTAACAATTTCCTCATTACTTTTTTGGGAAAGGATGGCATTAGTGCTCTTATCTTAAAGGTGAGCAACCACATGAATCTTGTGTGAGTTTGAATGGTTTGTGTGTAGTGGTTTAGAGAAATGCTTGCTCTTCTCTGAGTTGAAAACTACTCTCTACTGTTTAGCTAATTAATCTCTCAGTAATCCTAAGTGATGACTAATTGATGACTCTCATGCTAGTCTCATGCTAGTCCTGCATAATATTTGTACACATTTAGTGAGGCTGACAATTCAACACAGCTATTGCTCACTAAGAGGAAAACTAAAAAAAAAAAAAAAAAAAAAAAAAAAAAAAAGGGGG